TTCCGACTGGCTGGTTCCGGCCCGGCCTTCGTGTACCTCTGGCCTGTCTTTCCAGCCCATCCTTTTCGCTGCCAAAGCTAACTAGGGCAGGAGCCAACAGTCTTGTTGTTTGCGCCGCATGTTTGTTTCTTTAGCCTTTTAGGCTCATATGATATGACTCATATGACATTCCTTTATGTCTTGCTATGTTTAACATAACACGTCACATGTCTGTGCATGTTGCAAGGCATTGTTCAGTTTGAACTGGTTTCAGAACTTTTTTCGCTGTTTTCGATGTCTTTGCGAGCTGCTGTTGGTGTTGCAATCTGGGGTCTGCTCACCTTCAGCCACCCGGCTTCTTCTACTTACGCAGCCCATTCTCCTCGCTTCTCCTTGACCCCACGGCCGTCCAAGGCTTCAGCATGAGCTCCTCTTCAAGTCGATTAGCCTGTGATGGGAAACAGGTGGGTGGTGAGAAGGGGTCGTGAACTCTTGGATATCCTTACAAGCTTTTTGGTGTTAAAAATGAGTCCTGTCATCATACAAATATGTTTGTGCTAGGTGGGGATGTCAACTTCCTTGCTGGATGTTGATGCACTTAGTGATGATGGGCATGGGGTACCATCCAAAGTGCAAACGCAGAGAGTTTGCCGTGCAAAGCGAGCGGGTGGAAGCTTCAGGAAAAGGGTCAAAGTTGACACTTCAGCAGACCCACAACGGCTGAGGAACCTGATCAACTCGAAATGTGGCTGTTCCATGCAGTGTTTCAAGCCATGGAGGAATAGCTGGGCCTTGTGGGATGCATGGGTTGCTCTCCGGAAGCTATTTGTTCAAATGACCAAGCTTGAGAAGGATCAACATGTCAGGGGCTTACACCTTCTCCTTCCCAACTGTCCACACTTTCCCCACCGTCCGCACCACTGCCTTGCCAAGGTCTACAGCTTGATGCGGAGTCAACCTCAGCAGGCTTGCCGTGGATCGCGGCATTTGGTTTCTGGGGGCAACCCAATTTGCCACCGTGGCTTTAGCAGAATGATGGGGATTGGCAAGGGTCGTTTTGGGCGCACGCGAACAGCCCTGGCAAAAGGAGCTGATGACTGTCCTTTCGACTTGAGATACATCAAGTCAGGCCCAAAAACACCATCGGAGGCTTGGTTCCAGGTCCATGGGTTTCTGACAAAACTATACACAGAAGCCGCCGAAGAAATTCCTGATGGGCTGAACAGTACGAAGCGACCACGACATGGTGCGAACAAGATTGACAAGCCTACCATGAACCGTGCGCACATCAAACATTTACCGCACGCGTCGATAACTGATTATTGGACACAGTGTATGGCGGCCCTTCCTGGCGTCAAGGTCAGCAAAAAGCTTTTCACAAGTGCGCTTGGTCATAGACTAGTAAATCTTGTAAGTTCTTTGTGAGTTGGGGAGACTGTTTGGCTATATACTGGTCGTTGGCCTGAGCGCAAAGCTGTGTGGGACCAGGTGTGGCAAAGGGACTTCAGTGACAAACTGCATATACGCTTCAAATCTCATCATGCTCGTTGCAGGCAATGCGTCAAGCATCGACTCATACTGAGAAGACTAGGGCATCAAGGACCAGCTCGGCGGGCTCAAGAGAACCTATTGTTCCGACACTTGTCGCGTCAGCACCGCGACCGCCAGTTATATTGGAGCATCAGGGCGCAATCTAGACTGGACAGCTCCAACAGCCAGCCATACACACTGAGCTGCATCCTGGACAGCATGGACCAGGGTAAACACGCCTGGCCAAAATCCTTGAACCTACAGTCCAAGGAATTCAGCAGCTTCAGCAGACCACGCCTTGCATCGACCACACTTATCATCCACGGCCATGCCTTGATTACGGCTTTATCTCCGCATGTTGTGACTTGCAACTCGTCGCGCTCATGTGAGATTTTGATGAATGGACTATCGTCTGTGGCTGGACGGCTTGACATGCGTCAAGTCACTGTACATGTCCAGGCGGACAACTGCAGCAAAGAAATCAAGAACAATTGCATCATCAAACAGATGAGTTTGCTCACAGCTCTTGGCCATATCAAGGCCTGCCAATTGAGTTTCCTCTCCTCGGGACACTCCCATGAAGACGTTGATGGCTACTTTTCACAAGTGGCTCAATATCTACAAGGCATCCAGGAAATGTGGACACCCAAAGCGTATGTAGATCGAATTCAGCAGTTTATGCAGTCCATGGAAAGGAGACCACATGAGAAGCACTGCCGAAAGGCTTACTTGCTAACGCAATATCGGGATTGGATCCTGAGAGTGTTTTCAGAGGAGTTTGCAAACCTTAGTTTTGTCATAACTGTTTGAGAGCAGTTCGGTTGTGGTCAGGTTCCTTCTGCGAGTGAAAGTTTGGTCTATTCTTCTATGATCTTCTATGTGTTGGTCCCACTGCTTGACTGGTTCACTGCCTTCTCAGGAAAAACTTTCTCTCCGAGCGCTTCGGTGAAGCGCACATCACCGGCATTGGCGGGCCGGGCGCTCCGCATCTCTACAGATTAGATCGCATTGAAGACACAGGATACTGTAAGTTATTTCTTGTTTGGTGACCAAACACTCAGGAACCTTTAACTATCTTTAACTTTTGTTTCAACCCTTATTGAACCTGCGCTGACTAACCGGCTGAGCTAATCACTGAACGTCGCCTTCGTGCCACTCTCCACCAGGAATCCCGAGATGCAACATCGACGACCGGTTCTGGCGCAAGCAGCGGTATGTGCCGAGCGGAGGGGATGTCATCCTCAGGATTTCTACTTTGTTTAGTGAACATAAATCCTTTGGTCTTTGTTCCAAAAATGCTTGCGAGGACAAAGCGGTTCATGAGCAATGAATCTTGGGATGGCCCAGCGATCTTGTTCCTTCCACACATGGTAGCTCGTGCAATGCAAGGTGATTCACCACCAGGCCAAACACAAATATTACAAGAGAGGTCATTGCTCAATTTGACCCAATCTTTGTTATGCAACTGCTTCGCTGACCCACGCAGTCTTCTGGGACAAGCCTGTCAACCCCGACTCCAATGAGAACAGGGCCTTTAGAAAATATGCTGCTTTGATGAGCTTCGGCCTAAGTCAAATTGTCACACGGCACACAGAAATCACTGAGCTCGCAAGGTGCAGATCCTTTCGACATGCATGCTGCGTCCCAAGCATTGGATGAATACGCCAATGGTGTTCACACCCAAGAGCCCTTCATCGATGTAAATTGGCCCATGCCCTAGCTGTGAATCCCCATTCACCATTACTTTTTAGCGGTATATAATATAGCTTCGATGTTCAGCCTCTGAGGGCCCTACCTCATCTTGGTCCTGGTGTTGGACCTGGAGTGCCGGCGCAACCGCCCGCTGTGGGTCAAGATTTGGATGGGGTCAGAACCTAAATTCTTTGAATTTCTATTGAATCAATTGGGAAGAGTTAAACACGCCTGAGGCTCCAAATGTTTTGAACTTGGTGCACCAGCGGCCAAATCGCGGGGAGCTGCTACGGTATGGGTACGCTCGCAAAAATCAAGCCTTGTACACAGCTGCTGCCAGGCTGTGGTCACATGGAGTTCCAATGGCAGAAGCAATCAAGATCGTGTCGGAAGCCATGAGACGCTGCTAGAATGTTCGAGCAAACCGCCAGTGTGCAAAAACAGAGTCGGTCCTGGGATGAAGCGGGTATTGATCAGGTGTGAAGGGAGCATCTAATGGTCCATAGTGTTTCGACTGGGTTTGTGAAGAACCCTGGCTAATTGGGCCAATTTGTGAAGAACACCACCTAGTTTTGTGAAGATTGTATTCCTCACAATTTGAGGCCTCCCCCCCACCAGGTGTTTTGTGAATAATCGGGTCGTCTTTATTCACAAACCACCTGCTCCCTCATCACAAATTCACAAATCCGGGTCCAGCCATCCATTGACCTTGAACCACAGTCTGTGAGGATGGGTTTTGTGAATAATCGGGTCGTCTTTATTCACAATTTCCATTGCCAAAGTTGAATGGGTGTTTGTGAAGTGGCTTCGCAAACAAAACATTAACATCGTTCAACCAATTTCAACCAATGGCCAGGTGCCCAGCATGGCTCCCAAGAAGAGGACATCGGGAGGCGCACAGCAGCCTCAGAAGCAGAAAAAGGCCAAAGCTGGTGAGGGAGTCCCAGCAGATGCGCTGGCTTTACCGCACATGGTGCTTTTCGAAACATGGTTGATTCTTGGACAAATTGTGGCTAGTGTATAGTACGGACACTAGTATGGATTGCATCCAATGTTTGCATCGCTCTTGAACCTATAAACCCCAACCAAGGGCAACCACTTAGAGAGCAGCAATGTTTCTACGTCACACACCTGCCAGGAAGGACAATGTCTTGGACAAGAACTTGACCATGGATATCTTCCTGTGTCAACACCTTGCTGAAGAGGCTCTCATGCTTTTGTGATATGGAGTCATCTTGAACTAAAAACTACTAAAAACTACCTGATTCTCAGGCCAGCGCCATTGGATTCTTCAAGTTTCTGGAGCAGAGCTTTCCACCAACCTCGGGTGTGTCAGTCCCTAAGAGTTTGTTTCTGTTGACATGGCTTGGAAAGGTCAACGGGTGTCAACTCGTCAGAAAAATCTACGCTTCAATTCGGCCTTTAGGAAGTACTGTGGCCTTGCTGACCTCCAACATGGTGGTGCTATCTACCTTCGCCTGTGGCAACTCCCATTCCGCCCAGACATGGGACTTCGCGGAACAGGGGATATAGCAGCTTGGCCAGCGCAGATTGAAACTTGATAACATCCCTCTGACTGCAGTCAGTGTTACATGTAAAATGCTGAGGATGTGCAACACTCGTTGTGCCAATTGGTGCTGTTGAATGGGATGATGACCAACCCCGACAAGCCAGGGGTTGAAAAGGTTTGCTGTTCTTTGACGCAAGCCAAATGGCTTAGCTTGCCCATGCTGCACCTTAGAGTCGAAGAGGATTTGGGCATCCTGGATGGCTCTCTGGTGCCTCCAGGCAATGCCTTCATGGTCAAGGGCTGGAACCGGAGTGTCTGTGCCTTGACAGTGTGCTACGCAGCTTACATGGTGCCAGAGCTGCTTGATGCCAGCTTCTGAGATTCTGCAATGTGTTTTGCAATGCGTCGCGAAAGAACATGTGTGTATCACTGGTGCACGCAGGCAATGCCAGACCACGTTCGTGAGCGCCTTGCTGGCATCCATTTTGGGGGTGTGATAGTATGTATGTTCCTGGCGCACCTATTCAAGTTCTGCGCAGGAGCTTCAGCACGATCTATGCCACTGGCGTCACGGCTGATCTTAATGTTGCTGTCTCCACGAACCGAGGCAGGTTTGAAACAACGATTGAAAACAACTATCGTCTGAAGAACAACTACCTCAATTGAACAACTACCTCATTTGAGCTCCTGATTGTCAGGAGTGACACTCGGCTCCTCGGTGCGCCGCAAGCCAAATGCCTTCAATCTTGTGCACCAACTAGAAATGATGATTCGTGGTGGCTTGACCCGTGAACAAGTGCTTGGAAGCTTGGAGGTGGACTGACAGTAACAGTTCAAGATAGTTCAAGGATGTTCATGGCATCACCTACAATATGTTTGAAGCCTGTCATAATGTCTTTGGAGGCAAGTGATGGCATCGCTAGCTTTGCCCAAGCGTATGCTTTGGGGAAACAAGAATGTGGCGCTGCGGTCAACCTCCTTCAGCGGATACCCTCGGAGATAAAGGATGTATTGACGCTTCTTGTCCAGTGTCTTGTCGCAGTGTTCTTTGAATGATGCTCAGGTCAAATCACACTAAAGGACACTCAAAGTTACCTTTAAAGCACACTCAAAGTCAACCCATGGAAGTCAATCCAGGAAATACACCCAGCCGCGCTTCATAACCCATGACTCTTTGAGTGGGAACTTCTTCAATGGTGGCTTTTCTTCTGCCTCGGGCATCTTAGTCCCCTGGAAGAGTCAACTCACAAATTCAACAGCATTGCTTCGGGTCTTGGTGGTGCGCTTGGAGAAAGACTGGCTGGCACTTGCGCCCAAGCACCGAAAGCCTTGGAACGCAAAAGATGTGGACTCTAGGCAGCTTTGTTCCAATCAGTAGATTGCCAACTGCTTCACTTGTCAAACACTGTGTCAACATGGAATGTTTCCAACTCCTGATCTCCAACAACTAAGGAACAGCTACAACGAATCTGTGGAGGGTTCCTTGCTTGCTTGGACCAGTTCAAGACCATGATCCCTGGGTCCTTTGCAGACCATTGCCTGACAGACATCCACAAAACGCCATATACTTAGCCATATCTAACTCACACTGCAATTCAATGCAACCATTCAACGCAATCTGGTCAATGTATGTTACAATCATTCATAGTACAGTAGGGTGCACCTGTTTTGAGGTTTGAGTTGCGTCATGGTGATTCCGACATCATGCAGTTGCTGGAGACATCTGTTCCTCCAGTAGATTTGGGGAAGGTAAGTATCTTCTCGGCGCACATTCAGCGGTACTATGCCCAGGCCAGGGTTCAATGTATATAGTGATGGGCGTGTGACTGAGATCTGAGCAGGTGGAGAAGGACAACCGTGACAAAGCCGCTGAGTCTCCTGGCAGAAATGTTCAAAGAACACGCTGAACCATAGTGAACCTAATGTTGTGATATTTTCTTTTCAGGCTGAGTGCGCAGTTGTTGACAACTACGTGGCAGCAAACTCAGCTTCAACTGGAGGAGGACATGGATAAGGTCAAGCTGTGGTCAAGGAAGTTCCAAACTTACGCTGAGCAGCAGGCCCTTTCTTTAAACACAATGGATACAATGGTACTTGAAGTCTTTCAGCAAGAAATCATTGTATGGATACAGTGGTCTTAAATCAAATCATTGTATAATACATGGAGTCATTGTATAATACATGATCCAGGGAGCCATGGACTTCAAGCACATCAACGACCGCTTTCAGAGAGGCAAGGATTGGTCAGAGGACTTTCTAGAACGGAAGCACAAACTGGTCCATTTCTCTTCACTGGTGTTGGCGCACAGCGCCATTGTGTCAAGCCAAGCAGAGATGGGGCCTGATGGGTTTCTTGCTTGAAACTAACTGCGTCATTACGAAGACTAAATGGGCAAAAGTAACAATAAAACGTTTTGACTTAGGCTCACAATCTTGGTGGTGGATGCAACTCTGTGGCCAACACGCCCCTTGCAGTCTATGGGTTCTCATGGGTTCTCGTGGGTTCTGATGGGGTTTGATTTTCTTGTGCCTCCCAGGCCAGCTTTCAATTGATGAAGCCATTCAAATCTGTTCATCGGTGAGCTCTGGCAATGCCAACACAGTTGCCTTCTTTTGCATGCCGCAATGTCATTCTTCCACAAAGCGAGAATCGGTATTGAAGAACAGACGGCTTTTGGAAGATAAAGTGGGGCAGTGCGCTGTCTGCAAGTAACATGAAAGACAAATATCATCTATTATCGAATTTTGCGTTGCATGACCACTATTATCTATTATCTATTATCATCTATTATCCAACTACCTTCACTCGATTGTCTTCCAGGGCCATGGACATCTTCGAGGTGTCGATCAACTATGCTGATTCCACACACGGGGGTGACCGGCGAAAGACGTCACAACAGTGCATCTTTCATGCGCATGGCGGTCATTGTATTGATACTCAGCCCCTCGAAGCCCACATCCCCTGTCCCCTGTCGCTCCCCAGGTATGGCTGCCATCTCTGCCTCAACCTGGAACAACGCGGCTTTCTCGAAGTCGAAGGCCCTGCTCGGGTCGATCTGCGATGTGGAGAGAAGCAGAGTCTCTCTGAGCTTCAGAACCCGGACCCAGAAAGGTCTTTAGCGCCACATTGGAGGGCTCCTCGATTCAAATCTCCTACTGTTTCTTGAAACATTTCAATCTTTTAGGAAGTGTTCAGATCAACAGTATCAAACATATTGAATACATTTTTGGGTTCAGCGTTGCATCGCGTGCCTTGAGGTACAACAGAGAGGCATCCATGCCACTGCATGCATCATCAAGAACATCGTTGCAGGTGTTTCAAGCAACTCGCAAAAGCCACTTCTGGTGGTGGACCTCTTGCCCTCCAGGCTAGGGTCTAGTGCTCATGATATATGATAATCCCTGAACTAATGCCCAGATTGAGAATGGGGAGGCCAAAACTCTTTCCACCCTTGATCCCTTCACCTGCCCAGGTTTGCTGAATGGTCCTTGGCAAGCTGGAGCATCCAGGCAGCTTTCCTTCAGGAAGCAAATCGAGAGTTGGATGTGCGCTTCTTGGGGGTATACCACTCGGACAACGCGGAGGAGCTGACCAGTGCCAGGGCAGTTTTGATGGGTCGGCTGATCTCTGACTACTGGGATGGATGTGAGAAAGCAGGCTCCAAAACTCGTGAAGCTTCTAGCTTTTCTGAGAGCTTGCCAACTTTGCAGAGCTTGGTGATCAACGAAGATGGGGAAATCAAGTTTTTTGATTGCAGTGTCATGCATGATTGCTTGATTTCAATGGGTAATCGTGAATAGAACAAAAAGGGAAATATTTTATGTTTGCTTTATGTGTGTGTGTGTTTCTGATTGGAATCCCAAGGATTCCGGACTTGCTGCAGCAGAAGTACTCGCAACAACCAGGTTTGAAGGACTTCACCGCCAAGCTTGCTGAGGACACTGAAATATCCGGAGCCTTGAGGACTTTCCATGCAGCCCAGCAGCGGGGCAATGCCACTCCAAGCGTGAGCACGGCCACGGTGCCAACCAGAACCCTGGCATCGCCAGAGTGGCAAGGTGATTCACCCATCAATGTCCGCAAGAGGCTCAACTTGGAGGAGATTTCCATGAGCCAGTTCGAATCTGCAAATGTGCAGCTTTGATGGTATTGGTACCCGTTTTGGGCCGGGGGAAGGATGGGTTGAGGGTTTCAGCAATTTTTGCGCAGTAGCTTCCCAACTCAAGCTAGTATCTAGTACTACTTGAACTGTTGGGGCCATCATACCTACTACACTAAGGCCAGAATACATCGCAGATCTACCTCGAGTTGCAGGGGTGAAAGTGTGCCTCACCAGCGACAACCACCTTTGGCTTCTCAACAAAAGCGGGAATGGATCTGTCGCGGAGATACCAGCAGGTGAATTGTTCGGCTTCAACATTGGCAGTTTCCTAGAAGTACCGCTAGGCCAGTGACTTCAACAGAATCCAACAAGGCTTCAAACAATCGAAACATTACAATAGAAAAAGAAAGGCTTCAATGAAACAACACCTGATGTCATCCGTTTATTTTGCAGGCAACGCACACCCATCGGATGTGCACCTTGGATGGGTCCTGAGCCAGGACAACACCTTGGTAGCAATGGCAGACAGCAAAGAGATCAAATCTGTCGCTGACATCATGTGTGATGTGGCAAAGCATCAGGGTGTCACTGAGATCCGCATTGTGGATCATACTGTCCAGCCTAAGGCTATTTTTTGTTGAGTCATACTGTTTGCATTGAGTGCTTGTGTGTTAAGCCAGTTTCCAAATAAAGCTGTGTATCTACCAACCGCCTATAAAAAAATCGGTGTATTTTCCATCCATGCCACTCCATCCAATCGTTGGTCAGCCAACCATCCTGCCATCCGCCCGCATCCGCCCATCGATCTACCCATCCATCCCTGAACCTATCTGTCCATCATCCAACCGGTCCACCCAAACCTATTCACTATTGTCACTATTGGATTTATCCATTTGTCTATCCATCCGTCCATCCATTTGTTTAGCCAGTCATCAATTTCACTGTCTGTCTTCCACCTGTCAATCTGTGTGGAGGTGCTTGTTTGTCCTACCCTGCATCCAGCCAGCTAGCCATCCACTCCCTCTCTCACTCATTCTCTCTCTCCATCCTTTTGCCCAAGTGCTAACGCTGGTGACATAGCTGTTGATGTAGCCATCCTGACTGTGGGATCTTGGTGAGTTGGCAGGCGGGAACTGGTGATCGGCCGTTGGCCTATCGGTATGACATCTCGGCTATGACCATGGTCAATGTGTATAAGCCGAAGGAGCTTGCCGCCGACACTGACAAGCAGCACATACGATCGGTGCAATTTGGTGCTGTTTTCCATGCCAAATATTCACAACTTCCAAGATGCCAGCTGTGTGATGTGGTCTGGGAGGCCATGGTTGGATAACATAATCAGGAATCTCACAATCTTCATGATCTTCATGTCTACCCCTCAAACCACTGCTACCCAGGTGAAGGTGGATTCATCAGTGCCCGCTGTACTGAAGCCAATCAAACCAAAGTTCTATGTATTGGGCACTGTCAGCCTCAAAGATGGGTGCGCAGTCAGACTGAAGTGACATGCTTCAAGTCTGCCGGGGGTTGAATGTGATTGTAGGGATGGCTGGGTGATAAGACTCCATGATCCACCCTTTATACATAGTCCACTCTCGATAAACCTTGCCACTTTGTTTAGTCGAGACACCCATGCCTGTCAGAGAATCACATACTTTTGAGAAGGCTTGGGATGACCCTGAGCTTGTGGGTAGCGCGCTCTTGTGAGCACTGGATTTGCTGTGGAGCCCAAATGAACCCAAGCTTTGCTCTGAGACTCCACACTTGCAGCGGAAGGGCAAGACCTGCTTGAAGGTGAATTTGTTTACATGTGTTTGATTTGTGTGCCATAGATTCAGATCAACTCATGTCATGATCGGATATCTAGGATTGTGTGCGATGGCTTTGGATGCCGTCGAGACCCTAAGTGATGAGGATGCCAAACCTCAGGCGGCTCCTGTGACTCCTGTGACCAAAGCTGCACCGAAGGCTAAGAATAAACCAAAGACTGCACCAAAGAAAGATGCTGCAACAAAAGCAGATCTGATGAAGAAACCGTCGTTGCAAACCACTGGTGAGTCTAAACAAGTGGTGAAAAATGTTCTGAAGCGGCCTGCCGCTTCAAAGGCCAAGGCATCCTCCAAGGAATCTGCGCCTGAGAAGGTGCTTGTGTCGAAGGGCTTATACAAAAACGGCATGTATGGCTTCAAGATCAACGGCTCAGAGAAACTACGAGTCACTTTGATGCTGCACTCTATCAGTGACATGTGTTCTCTAGAGCTTTCAACAGCAACATGCAGTTTTTTCTGTAGTTTTCTCTAGACATGTGTTGATATGTCATTCTTCTAAGTTGAAGCCGGTAGAGGGCCTCACTGCGGAAGCATTGCACGACATTGCAGCTACTTAGTTGCTCCAAGATGTGCTGTGAATGTATCATATACAGTGTCTTTATGTGAAGATTTTTTAAACTAGTTTTGGCAGCCAAGGTGGCTGTGCGAGATGAGCTGATTCGAACAAAGGGCGATGTTCAAGCTGGATCTACACTCATGGTGTCTTAGCTAGATTTGCATCAAGGGAACATGAGGTGCAAGTCTCACCGCAATCGTTTTCAATTGATTGTGTGTTTGTTCTTTCTCGATTCTCAAAGGACACCATGGTGGCCGCGGCTGTGGCCAAGCTCAAGAAGGATGATGCTCTGGATGCCGATGAAGGGGCTGAGATGGAAGCCGATGAACCCTTTGAAGGGGAAGAGGAAGAACCTCGTGAAATTGATGATGCGTTGGAGGGTTGAGTTTCTCTGACATGTTTCATGGGAATCTTGCAACCCCTATATCATCACAACATATCACAACCTTTGAGCATCTTTGAGCCATGTGGGACCTGCGTTCGGCCAGGTTCCAGTGCGAGCACACTTGACACCCGCATCCGCATGAGCTGCTGCGAAATGGTTTGGGCGCTTCTTGATAAGTAATCTTCAAAAAAATGCAGTTGTTTGCTTCAGGGCGCCCTTGAGATCGCCTTAGAATTTTGTGAAGGCCCCTTAGAAGACTGTGCCTCAATGTATGTGATGTAGTTTGCAGGGCTTGTATGTTTCCAGCCACTATTGTTACAATGTCCAACCAAAGGTGGTTCTCGAATGGAGCTGTGAGTGCAAGCCTGGTGACACTCGAACGCTGACAACCACCAGAATAGCGCTGCAAAAACGGCAGCTCTTGAGAGTTGGGAAAGGGTGGGGCAGACCCAAAATCGGTGTTGAAAGATCTTAGGATATCTTAGGGGTCATGCTTCGTGTGTTGCGCCTATGCCTTGTGGAACAACTTAGGCCTCAAGACTCTTGGCATGTTCTTCTCGAGGTGTAAATTGCAAGCTGTTGCAGGTAGCCATAGTTCAAAACATAAGGGGTCATTTTTCTCGCCAACAGTTATGTTATGTTTGCAGGTCTCGCAAACAGAAATTATCCAGAGCGACAGAGTGAGGTAGTTGTGAAGGTGCATCGCTCTCTTGTACCCCTTGTATACTAGAACCCTGTAAGAGTCTTTGCTTTGTTTTTTTCTATCTAAGCTTAAATGCCACTTCATTGTTTGGACACCAGCTATCTACAGGTCATCTCCACTTAGCCGTGAAGCTAGTCATTCCAGCTGATCAAACAGTCCAGCAGTTCAAACTTTCTCAAAGTTGAGCGAGTTGAGCCAGTTATCACTGTTGGTACACTGGTCTTGGCCAAAGCCCTGGTTGCAAAGCAAGTCCCTGAACCAATGGAACAGCCCATTATTCTGTCCCTAATCTTGGGCTCACCAGCGACCGCCCGTTTCGCCCCCTCGTTTCTCGCCGCCTTTTCTGCTATGGCTTCGACATCCACACCCCCCTGTGGTCTAGCTCTGATTCCAGGCCTTCCACCTCGTGCTCAAGCAATGCTACACCGTGAATTTCTATTTGCACATGTTCTCTTGGCCTAGATCCATTCACTGCTGCATATCCTACTCAGCATTCGTACCCTTCCATTTATGTATCGGGTGACACACCCACAACTTCGAACTCAACTTGAGGGATTGGACAATACGCTCCTTCTTGCCCTTCGCCTCAACCACACTGCCGTCCACTATACCCACCAGCTCCTCACTGCCTTGGGCCTCCTTCATATCATTCAACAGAGCCCGGAACAACTTGAAGACGAACTCGAAGGTCGCACAGACTTTGGCGATCGCGCATCCCTCTCCACACTTCCTGCTCTACCCCACTCTACTACGACTTCATCGAGGACTACCAGGACCCACAACCCAGCTGACCGGATGCCTCCCTCTTCTGACCCTCCGCCCTCTCGCCATGTACCTCGGCCTCGTCTTCACATGCGCTCGAGATCTCGCTCTCGACCTCGTTCGACCAGGTCCTAGCTTCTGTGTTTCACCTTGTACTTTGCCAGACGCAGCAAAAGGAACAACCTACACTTGGCTTTATTTTGATGACACCTTCTTTTCACGGTAGATTTGCACTTTATCATTCCCTTTCCTTTACATATCCCTTTTGGGCTCCAGACTTTGAGACATGCATATCCACGAGATGACTATCCATCCTTCACATCTCACTCACAATCTTCCTTTTCTTGTTGTTAATCCTCTTTGAGAGTAACGTTTTCGGGCGACTACCTGCCTGGCGAGCTCTGGTTCTTCTCCGGAATCCAATCGCCCTCATCGACGACGTGATCTTGGTCGCACCTCTCGTTCACGGGATACGAGGCCTCACGCACACATCGAAGAAGTCGACTATGATTCATGATGATGAAAATAATCCCCTACTATCCGGAACCCACCACCCGGCACTGAAATTGCACGTGGCGTCCTAGATCCACTATAACCTTCCGACACTGTCACTGGCGACACTTCTCACCAGACTATCACCTCACCTCGAGCCGTTTCCGCCCCACCTTCGACACCACGTCCTCACCTTTCCCAGTTTCCCTTCCCTCGACCACATTCCACTCCCGCCTTTCCACCCAGCCCACCAACACATCTTACTGGTCCACTTTTTCCACCACCACGCGTTCAAGCACCTCGTCCCCGACCTCCACTTTCTCACCCTCGTGCTACGGGTCCACCACCTCACAACCCGTATGCACCACGTCCGCGCCCCAGGCAACCACTTTCTTCCCGCGACCATCGCACTTCGCGGACAACACGTTCCCCTCTTACACGACAATTCGATCGACGACGTTCCCATCCCAGGAGCCGTTCTGCCCACTCTCGCCGACCACGCGAACATCGACGCCGATCACCTGTGGCATCGCGCTCCCGACGGGACAACCACCACAGTCGCCGATCACATTCTCGACATCACCGTTCCCGAACACACAATCGGGAGACTTGGGAACTGTACACTCCACAGGAGCGCTATCGCTCTTCCAATCTCCCCCCAACACGTTCACAATCGTGTCATTCCAGCACCCATCGTGGCAGACCACGGGCAAGCCACCATACTTCTCTTTCCGCACCTCGAGCCACTTCACACAGCACACCCATTTCGCCTCCTGCCTCAGTTCACCCTCCTTCTGATCGGGACTCTTCGGTGGCGCCCCCTTTGGTACTACTACCTGGACCCGGTGATCGACCACATGCACAACCTACCCCTCCAGGTTCCACCTCCATCTCACGACCCACCACTCCACCTCAAGCATTTCAACCACCTCCTCCTGTTCCACCACTCCTGCAGAGGCTGAGGAACTTCGACAACTCCGCCTTCAATTTCAACAACAACAAACAACAACAACAACAACAACAACAACAACAACAACAACAACAACAA